TCTTTGCGGCCCCATGGACTATAGCCTGCCAGGCTCCTCTGCCATGGGCTTTCCCAGGCAAGAATAACCCTTAGGCATCTCTTTCCAGGATGCCTAGATGGCAAGTCTATATTGGGTGATAACCCCATGGACTGTAACCCACGAGGCTACTCTGACCATGGAATTTTCCAGACAAAAATAATGGAGTGGGTAGCCATTCCCTTCTCCAAAGGATCTTCCCAACCCAAGGATCGAAACTGCATTTCCCGCATTGGCAGATGGATCCTTTACCACTAGTGCCACCTATGAAGCCCATATTAGGCGATACAATCAGATCTATGCCAAGGAGAGATTGGTCAACCCATTTTAAGCTTTTAACTTGACCAAAATTTCTTTAAAAAAAAAAAAAATCTTCAACCTGTATGGGTCATTTGGAAATAGAGAGCCAGGAGACCAGCCTTTAGAAACAGGCATGCTTCAAGCACATCTCATCCCTAAACAAGATGAAACACAATAATATGAGACTACAGTCTCTCAACTAGCACCTACCTCGGTAAGACTCCACTCTGAATTCCATAAAGTCTCAAATCAGTCAACTCTAAAGTGCCACAGGCTGTATCACTAATCAAGTTATTCAAATACTATAAAGTGACATATCTGAGAGAGTGGCTAGGTCATACATTCTTTCATAATGTTACTTCAATTTAAATTTCATGATAACAGACGAGGACAGAGTAAAATGTGCATGCACAAATTTAGCGCATTCACATATGCATGTAAAACTGTCCACAATAGACATTTCTGTTGTTTAAAAATAAGAACATTAAAAGTTACTTTGCATTTTCTTATGAAAACTTTTGACTAAAACATGCTGTTACATTATGGCTTTGGTAACACATTACATGAGCCCATAAGAGCCCAGTTTTTTTAATCTTTTATTTTCTTTAGTTTTCTCATTATGTACTTTCAATGACTATAATAATCCATGAATCCATATCACTATTTCTCATTATGCACTTTGTTTTCTATATTATAATTCATTTCGGAGAAGGCAATGGCACCCCACTCCAGTGCTCTTGCCTGGGAAATTCCATGGATGGAGGAGCCTGGAAGGCTGCAGTCCATGGGGTCGCAAAGAGTCGAACACGACTAAAGCGACTTAGCAGCAGCAGCAGCATAGAGAGAATTTTTTACATCATTTGACGTAAAAACCAAACAAAAAACCTAAGTATTCCTAAATACTGAGAGCAGATGAGTTTCAAGATCTTTGGACATCCAGCCAGTTCATCACTTGCCACTGAGATTTAGAAATAAGTTATAAAAGATGTTATGTTTATAATTAAGAAAAAAATAACAAGAATAAAACGGGCATCAAAGCAAAGGAGATTTCCTGAACACTGAATATATTGCATTTGACAAGGGCAATAACCTACCCAATCACGTCTTTTGCTCTCATTTGCTAAAAATATTCAGGCCAGCAGAAGCACAGACCATTGTTTTGACCCTCAGGGCTGTTTAAGCTTATGGGTCTTACTTAATACATTAAGACATATGGGAAAAGTTTCCCTAGACTCAGAAGACTTACGGATCTCCCACAACTGATGAGAACTTCCCCCTAGTGCTTGTAACACATTCTGACTCAGATACTTAAATTTACCTTTTAAAATATTTTTATTCCAAAGAGCTGTTTTCCCAAATGACCTATCTAGGTTTCATCTTTTATCATAAAATATATATAAATACATACATGGTTTTTCTATTCAACATCAGTGTTTTACCTACACTCTAGAACTGACAGTAAGATTTATACAGTTTAAAGAGAGCCATCACAAACACTTGGGAGTTACATTTACATGTGTATTTGTGAAATTCAAGCTGTCAAGTTGTATCTGTTCCTATTGCTACCATCTAAAAATAGCTTTCATTAAGAATAATTCTCTTTAAATTATTGGCTGGAAAATCCCTGCACTGTTGTCATTTTCATAACACCATAAGTACAGCACAGTTTATTAAACAGTTATTGAGGACATGAGGAAAACACAGACAGTGATCATAAATATTTGATAAACATGTTTGCATTATCAATACATTACAATACAATAGGGTATACGGAATATTTAGGTTGACTTGTAAGAACATAACTGATGCACAAATCTCGTATGGCCCCATTAGGATGTTATTTAACATCAGTATTTTACTCCCTTTTGGAAATCAGTCGCAGCCTAGTAGAACCTCAAGGCTTTGGAAACAAATGTAGTGCAGCAGACAATAATATGTTTGAATAACAGAAATTTAATTGAACAGCAAATTATTTTGCATTCCAGTAAATATAAAACCTAGAAATGTGTCTCAACCTGTGCAGTGAGCAAGAGAGAAAGCAAAGACTGGGAAGAATTTAAATGATTGTAAAGGAAGTGTAATTCACACAAGCCCCACATATAAAGCAAACAAGCTATGAGATTCTGTGTTCTCATCTAAAATACACTAGACAGTTTGTTTCTCCAAAAGTCCATTGTTCAGACAAGTGTTTTCATACATAGGCTACTCAGGAGTTTCTTAGACGAGGGGTAGGGAGGAGAGAAAAAAGAATTCAAGACAGACTTCTATTAGTTCAACCCTAAGGCTAATCTGTTGCACGTGTAGTTTCTACATTCATAAGCCAGTTGTTGGAAACGCTGCAGCTGAGTGCAGGAGAGCTGGAAACTGCTCCCCGGGGCATGATATCACAAAATGACTTTGCTATATTCCCTCTCCAGCCTAGCATCAGGCTCAAGCAGGGACACAACCATCGCGCCCCTAGGGCAGCTTCCTGTTAGATAAGAACCCTCCGCTCCATCAGTCTCCCTGAAATCTGACCAGAAGTACACGGAAGTGGTTCCACCAAGACAAATCAGCCCCTATTTTCTCTGAATGTTTTTCCCCCAATTTGTGTTCCTCTGCTTGATAGGTTCTGAATGACATTGTTAACCCAGACCATACAACTGAATGAATTCACAAGTTTTCACACCCTCACACATACACTTTTACACCCAAGATTCCAAGTATGGTTTGACTTGAGTTTCCATTGTATAAGATAGCTTACAGTCTTTACTTACATCTTCAATGTCACAATAACGACCATGCTTGTAAAAATGCAAGAGAAACTTTTAGCAGGATTTCAGTTAGTCTTTAGCTAAAACTATTAATGTTTCATGCAATATCGTACTTTAAAGTGTTTAACACTAAAATCACCAAACATACATGGTAATTACACAAACCTGAAGCTGTAACTTCATAATTTCTTAATCTACTACATTACATGCAGGTTTCCAGTTCATTTAACGGAAAACAAAAAAACAAAACAAAACCGGTTTTGCTTAACCTGCCACAAATTACAACCATGTATCTCCTTTGGCTGGCAAACAAAAGGGCAAAACTACCTTCAGTGATGCTTTTTCAGTTCGGAAACCCGAAAACAAAATAGTAGTCCTCCAGGCAATTTTCCATTTCCAAACATCCTCTGGACCTTTATAAGAAGTTTACCCCTGAAAACTGACATCCTTTTGTAGTTAAAAGGCGTAACTAACACCATGGCTAATCTAGCAACACCGCTCCCCATCCTAGGCATCATTGCCAACCACGACCCCCTTCATATTAACTTCCGCCATGTGTAGTAAGTGATTCACAATTTATATGGTTTGAGGGTAAAGGCAAAATCCTTCCTGAATTGCATGGAGTAAAACGTGAAAATTGGATGATGGCGTGACTGAAAAGGTTTTGTTTCAGATTCTCTAACAGGATACCATATGATGCAGGACATTGCTGTGATGCTTTTGTGTGTCCTAGTAAGACAGCTCCCAGCAGAGAGTTTCCCATGTTTTATAGTGACATCTATCAGCCAGACCCAGGGAATCCCAACGTCACTCAGCCTTCTTCAGCACCACTGTTTTGAGAACAGCTTCTTGCCACAGAGTGGTGCAGTCTTAACAGGTCCCTGGTGCACGAAGTGCATTGTGAAAATCAGGCAGTGGAGGATGAGCCATGCTCTTCCCTCATATCAAAACCCAATTGTTAGGCATTAATGAACCACCGCAGCCTATAGGCAGCACAAATGCCCCTCAGAAATGTAAATAAATGGCCATCACCTGCTACAAGCTGAAAAGAGCTACACACTTTACACACAGGCAGATCCAGCAGGGCATGGTGCTGAGTTTTGTAAAAATTCAATTAACCCAACCATCCATTAGATGGATATATAAAGACCAGGGGGAAAATCTATTATGCATGTGAGAATTTGTGATGTGTAATCATGTTAATTTATGGTTTGAGAAGAAACCCCGCTATGCTGTAGTGATTATATGATCATCAGGAAATTACAAATATTTAGAACCTAGGAATTACTTTTATGAATGGCATAGAGGTAATAACTCCTTCAGAAACGTAATCAGATTATCAACTAATTTCTCAGACCTGCTAACATTAAGGAGGCCTGGGAAGAGTTTTTTCAGTGGTAAAATCGGGAAAGGTCCTTAAATCGGATTGTTAACTCATCTCCCCAAATTCTCCTTAAGGGCCTACATGTGAAGCTCCATAATGACGTTCATCTGGTCTGATACACTTAACTGCAAAGCATCCGCCAAACGAATATACAGCGAAAGCAAAAATTCTTGAGATGGTGTCACCAAAAAGATAACACGCAACTTTATACTTCTCACATACACATTTTCACAAGGCACAGACTGCACCTATCTCTCTGGACACTCCGTTTTCCCAAAAAACTGCCACATTGAAAGACAAAATCTTGAATCTCGCTGCCTTGTCGGATTCACCACAGACACAAACCTCTGACCAAGTCCACACTCGGGACTCGAAGTGATGGCCAGACTGGAGAGTCCTGTCCGACTCACCCTTCCTCCTTCAAAGGAAAAGCCCCACACGGCCGCCCTGAAGAGCAACTCCTAACCAGAGCCAAGTTCGAGAAGGCACCGCAGGCAAGCCACCGGCCCCCTGCCATTCCACCTGGCGAACGAAACCCCAAGGAATTAAAAAGTTTCAGGCGGCCCCAACCGCGGACCAAACTCGGACTTTCCCCCACGGCAAAGCCTCGAAACCGGGAAACGGGAGAAGGAGCTTGCCTGGGGAATCCAATCCACCAAGCGGCTCCCAAACGCGCCCCTCCGCCGCTCGGACCGCGTCCGCCCGACAGCCGTCGAAGCCCGGCGGCCGCCCGGCGCGCCCCGGGGAGGTGCGCCCTCCCCGCCCTCCCCGCCCGGCCCGAGCGCGCCCCGCGGGCCAAGGAACTTACCGCACCGCTTGCACAGCACCCGGCTGACCTCCTTCTTGAGGTTCCGGCCCGTCTCGAGAGGGGGGAAGGAGGCTCGAAAGGCGGCGGGCGCGCGGCCGCTGCTGTTGGCCTCGGGCTCCATGAAGAAGATGTACCGGCTGTCCTCCTTGAGGCGCCCGCAGGAGGGGAAGGCGGGGTGGCCCCGGGCGCCCAGGCGCACGGTGAGGAGCGAGTCCTTCTTCAAGCCCCCGGCTTTCGCCGCCCACACCTGGTGCACCTTCACCAGATAGGGCGCCTCGGCTCCGGGCTCGGCGGCGCTGGGCTCGGAGCCGGTGGGCCAGGCGGGCACGGTCCCGTTGGCCGGCGGCGGGCGCTCGCCTCCCCACGCCCCTGCCTCGCCCGTGGCCGCCGCCGCCGCCGCCGCCGCCTCCCTGTCGAGTGCCCCCTGCTGCCGCCGCCGCGGCGGGTGCAGCTTTCCCTCGATCACCACCGCGGCGCGCTGAGCCAGCTCCTGCACCGAGCCCACGCTGGGCGGGGACGCGTAGCACACCGAGGCCCCCGCGGGAGCCGCCTCGTCGCCGGCGGCCGCCCCCGGCGCCAGGGCCGCGGTCCACAGCAGCAGCAGCGGCGGCAGCAGCAGCGGCGACGGCGGAGGAGAGCGGGCGGCGGGGCCGGTCCTCCCGGCGCGGCGCGGGGCGCATCGCCAGCTCATGGTGCGAGGTGCGTGCGGGCTCCGGTGCCTGTCGGTTCGGACTCTTGCCTCCTCGGTCTCTGGCGCTGCCTCCCTTTTCCTCTCCCCTCCTCCTCCTCCCCCCACCCCCCCTCCCGCACCCTCCTCCTAATTTATTTATTGGCGGGGGCCGTGGGAGACTTGTTTACGGGAGGGGGAGGAGGAAGGGAGAGAAGGGGTGGGTGGAACCACAGAAAGGCGAAGCGGTGGAAAGGGCAAAAAAAAAAAAAAATTTTTTTTTTAGGCGAAAGAGAAAAAAAAAAAAAAGCCGCCGCCACCGCCTCGGATGCTCGAATGCTGGGAGTAATAGGTCCTCCCCGCTCCGCCGCCGCCGCGCCCGAGCCCGGCTGTCGGGGCTTTGCTGTCACCGGAGGAGGACGTGGAGGTGGAGAAGCTGCTCAGCGGGTAACAGTCCTTTGTGTGAAGTGATGCTGCGGCGGCTGCTGAGGCTGCGAGCGGGCGGCGGGGCGAGCGCGCGAGGCAGAGAGCCCTGGAGGCGGAGTTGCGTGCCTGGAAATGGCTGGGTGGCCGCGGCGGCAGCGCCCTGCGCCTCGCCGGCCTGTTTACCTGCGGGGCGAGCTCGGCCCGCGCCTCCCTTCCCCATGCTGGTGCCCGAGCCCGGCCCGCGGGGTCGGTCCTCCCGCCGGGTCTCCCCCCTCTACCCCCGACCTGAGCGTCTCCTCCCTCTCGATCGCCCCGGTTGCTGCAATGGGAGGCCGGGCGGCGACCAAGGGCTGCAGTCCGAGTGGGCTGCGGAGATTTCCCCGGGACTCAGAGGTGACGCTTCGGCGATCCGGGACCTGTTAGCCGGCGCAGGAAGGCTGGGGGCACGCGGGAGACGCGGGGCCTCGTGGCAGAAAAGTTTTGGGTGAACTGGTTACTGGAGAGTCCAAAGGGAGCAACACGTTCGCAGGAGACAGGCTGCGATGAAAACAGCAACTTTCTGTCTCGCTCGCTCTCCTGCTAACGCGCGCACACGGCCAGATCTTCAGATTTGACGCTTCTCGCTCGGCTCCCCTTGTGTGGCGCTTAGGGCTTGATTACCCTCGCCTTTTCTCCTATGGAAATGCCCGGTTCACCGTGATTTTCTGACCTGTACGGTACTGCTGATCTGACCATTGCTTGAATAAAATAGTTGCTCAATAAGGCTGTCTTGTATAAAGTTTATAGCACTTTGTCAACTAGTCCGTTTAAATAACTGAATGAAGTGAAGGATGCCTCTGTGCTTGCTGGGAGGAAAAAAAAAAAAAAGCATCCCAGACAGGAGCAAATATAGGTTCAAGATGTTCCATCTGAATATCACACCCCCCCAACCCTAACTCACCCCATCCCCGCCCAACCCACCGGCACCCCATCTCCTGCCAAATTTAAGATGCTACTTTTAAAACAAGAATCCATCATCTCCTAGAGATGTTCATTTCCGTCAAGTTCAGCTCAACAAAAAGAACACATTTTTAGCACTTAAAGGAAAGCATTTCTCTTGTGCTCTTTTATGGTGAAGAATATATTCAAAGACCTAATAAAGTTGAGTGGAAGTTGTTTGTTACTCAGTGGCCTACTAGATCCACCTTGTGAGAACTTAAGATTTTAAAAGAACTCTAGTTACATAATATCCTTTACTCTGGGATTCTTTGAAGTTGCCTCTAGCAGTTTCTAGAAAGTCAGTCACAAAATAAGCTTCAGATTTTTCTGCATAAAAAGTAAAAGCTGAGTATAAGTTACCAAAAGAAAAAAAAAAAGTTTTTCCCTTGGCATAATATAGTTAGCTAGGAAAGAGTATTTTACTCTCTTCAAGTCCAGCTTGGACACATAGGGGTCCATGATGCTCACTGTGTGTTTCAACATGTGGGGATTTGTGCTTCTTAGAAACCGATGGAGTGCTTGAAGGATAGTAATAGTGCAGGTCTGATCTCCATTATATGTTCTATTAAATGCTCGTGGGCCTACTGATTTATTGAAAGAAAGTGGTCAGTCCTACTGATGCCTTCACTTTTCTTTGTCCTGACCTCACACATTTCTGATCCTTGACCTGTTTGGAGTCGCAGCTCTAGTCTCAAAAGTCTTCTCCCTTCCTGTCCACCTTGTAGACCTTGTATCAGTTATCTACTGCTATATGACAAACCAGTCTGAAATGTGTTGGCCTAAAACATTATTGATTCATGTAGCCCAAGATTCTGTGGACTGACAATTTTGACTGGACTCAACTGGAGGGTTCTGGTCTCAGCTGGGCTCACCGATGGCCCTGCTGGGCGCTAACTAGTCGCAGATGGCCTCAGCTGGATAGCTCATCTTTTGATGGATGTGGTCTCTTTCCCTTCAACAGGCTTAACCTGATCTTGTTCATGTCAGCCCGACATGTTCCAAGAGAGTGGCCAGAAGCATGCACAGTGTCTTGAGGCTCAGAACTGGCACCTCACCACTGCTTCTGTTACAAGGCGAGCTCCAATTCCAGGGGTACATGCTGAATATGAAGAGCTGAAAACTCGCATTGCCAAGGGGCAGAGATCCAGAGAGGGGGAAACTGAGGCTGTTTCTACAATTCTCTGCAGATAGTGAGCCTCCTTTGAGGTCCACCTGCCCCCTGTAGCCTTCTTCCATAGACGCCAGATGCTCAAAAAGATAAAGCCCTGCATTGCAGCCTCCTCATATTTGATCATGTTATTTTATTGAGCCCAAGCATTTCCATGTTACTCCCATCTCTTCAACTAGTAAGCTTGTTAAGAAGCCAAGACCCTGTTTTCAGCATTCCCCTGTTTTAACCCAATTTGCGGGACACAGTAAGTGCTCAATAAATGTCAGCTGATTAATGAGGATGACACGGTAACGTGCTTCCCACACGTTACCCCAGCAGCACCCAACACTGTCTCAGAGATCAAGTCCAGAAGTGAAAACAACAATAATGTTTTAAAGCACTGCTTTACAGGCTCATTAAATGTGGATCCCCCCAATTTGTAGTTCACAAAGCATTTTATTTTTGATTAAACATAAACTGCTTCATATGTTTTTTAATGCCCTTTTTATGTATTTTTTTAAGCCTTTACCTTCCTCCCATGTTTTCTTCTCCTCCTCCCTCAGCTCAGTGGTGTTAAGGGGTATTTTCCGTGCACCAGTGAGATCTGTTTGCATGAGTATTTCATTTCTTGCCTTGGGGGGGGTCTTCCTTTCCAGGGCTCCCAAACATTGAAAGGATGTTACCTAAAAGGGTATTTTGAGACCCTTTTGAATGAAAGGGGAACGGTATTTTTTAAATTAGATCCTTTACTTAAGAACAATATTAAAATAGTATACATTGGCTGTCCACTGTAAAAGGTTAAGAAGCTGATACATTTTTTTGGGGGGGGGGAACTCATCAGTCACCATTTCCTGGTTTTTATCAGTAACATTTTGGAAGTTAATCAAATATTTTTATAATAGATGTTTATACATAGTTTCTCTTTAAGAATCCTTTTTAATTTTTTTTTAAAAAACCTTTTATTTTGTATTGGGGTATAGCCGATTAACAATGTTGTGATAATTTCAGCAAAGGGACTCAGTCATACACATACATGTATCCATTCTCCCCCAAACTCTCCTCCCATCCAGGCTGCCTCATAACATTACTCAATTACTCAACTCTACTCAGAGTTCCCTGCTATACAGTAGTTGGGAAGGGTATTCTAATATGATCAACATATGCTTCAGAAATGCATGAATAATTGTTCAGTGTGATTAATTGCTTTTCAGAAAAAGAACAATTTAATTTGCCCACACCATTGTTTTCAAAAGTCAAAGGGGCTTGTTCTTGGAAACATCCTAAAACGAGGGTACTCATACTCTGCATCAGACTCACTCGTGAATCAAAATGCAGATTGCCAGTCCCATCCCAGAGTTTCTGAAGGGCTGGGGCAGGCCCCAGGAATCTGCATTTCTAACAAGTTTCCAGGTGCTACCCATGCTGCTGGGGGAGAGACCACATTTGAGAACCACTGGCAAAAACTGTAGATTTATAACTTAGATACGCATGGCATAATGATGCTATGCTGCTGCTGCTAAATCGCTTCAGTTGTGTCCAACTCTGTGCGACCCCATAGACGACAGCCCACCAGGCTCCCCTGTCCCTGGGATTCTCCAAGCAAGAACACTGGAGTGGGTTGCCATTTCCTTCTCCGATGCATGAAAGTGAAAAGTGAGAGTGAAGTCGCTCAGTCGTGTCCGACCCTTAGTAATCCCATGGACTGCAGCCTATTAGGCTCCTCCGTCCATGGGATTTTCCAGGCAAGAGTACTGGAGTGGGTTGCCATTGCCTTCTCTGATAATGCTGCTATAGGCATGTGTAAACAGACATAGACTTTGTATGCAAATATCCAACCTCCCCTGCATCACAAATGTTCCCCAGCCCAGCTTCGAGAAGGAAATGTGGGGATTGCCTCCTTGGTTATTAGAGACTGGCACTATTTAGCAGACTGATCCTGACTAGTTAAGAATGACCATGTATTGATAATAAAGGTGAGTGTTTCCTTGAGGACTTATCTCTTTGGTCAGTTGAAACCAAGAGGAAAACTAGAGATCAGAGTGGCTGTCATCATGTTACCTGGTAATATTTATCTGCTCAAGTGGGGAAAAAGCAGACAAAATTACGCAGGTAAAAATGAAAGACTATTTTTACTAGTTTAGAAAATCTGAACAACAAGCCCACAGTGCAGTGACAACCTGTAAGGGTTTACCCGCCCCTAGCACTTTATGCCTGATTGTTGTTGTTTTTCAGCTGCTAAGCTGTGTCCAACTCTTGCAGCCCCATGGACTGTACCCCACCCGGCCCCTCTGTCCATGGGATTTCCCAGGCAATAATACTGGAGTCAATTGCCATTTCCTTCTCCAGGTGATCTTTCCCCACCCAGGAAACATGTCTCCTGCGTTGGCAGGGGGATTCTTTAACACTGAACCACTAGGAACGCACTTACACCTGATTAGATCACTGCACTTGATTAGATGCTTCTAATTGGTGGTTCTTGAAGGGGCAACAGGAAATCCAAAGAGGCACTGATATCCACTTTATCATCACTGACCACCAGCACAGAGAGTGCACACCTTCAGCCATAAATCAGGAAACCAGTGATCTCCTGTGTCCAGAATTTACAGTCTCCCAAAGCATCCTCACTTGCGTAGCCGCCTGTCTTGGAGTAGATATAGGGTTCTGAAAAATTTAGGATTCTGACTGGTTACAAGTGCTTTTCGCTAACAGGCTGTAAGATACTTATTTGAGATCTGGTCATAAAATTCACGCAGTGATTCACTGGTGGGCACCAGTCTTAGATCACTCCTTATTTTGACTGAGTCAGCTGTGATTGCTGGGCTGGGCTGGCAATCCTGTCTCTCCCATCATCTGTCCAGTTTGAATGAGTTCATGATGGTTTTTGACGGGTTATTGGTGATGGCAGTGTGTGTGTGTGTGTGTGTGTGCACACACGTGCGCATGCACACATGTGTATTTTCTAAATGAGAAAGGAGAAACGTGGGGGGAGAAACAGAGGAAGGAGGAGGATGGAAAACGGAGAACATGAGGGGAAGTATTCCCCAGGCTGGCTCAGAACAAGGGCTCAAGCTTCTAGGGACAGAAAAGTAAAA